GGGGGGGGGGAAATGCAAGTTGCCCTTGCCCCTTCTGGTCGGCTCTTCATAAAGTCGGCCTCCTACTGCAGCTGATCCCGGTCTCTTGAGTGGCCCGACTTTCTGCTGTGGGTCGGGGGATAGAGGTGTCTGATAACTGCTGCCTCTTGGTTACTTTGTAAAATCAATATGGTGATTTGAGGGAGGCCAGTAGGTCATTCAGTCGTCAAATCTGCCATGCTTTTGGGCTTGAAGCCGCTAAGGTAGTGATAGGTGATCTCCTAGATAAAAATCTCTTATATGAAATGTGAACAAGCTCTAATGTAAGACCCAGTGGATTGTGCCTCTTGTGCAACCTCGGGCCACTGCTTGAAAGTACCAGACAGCCCCAACAGGTAGCCCTATAGATTTCTGAAAGGTTCCTTCAGTGTTTGCAGCTTGAAGCTAGTGTCCGGCTGTCTTCCGTCCTACAGGCTTATATTTTTACTTGCAGCAGGTTGTCCTCAAAACAGCTTTCTCTTTTCGTCTAAGTACCAAGTATGGGCAGATTGTATATATGTAGGATTGTGGCTGGGTACTATATTGATGGAGAGCTTGAAGATAATATAGTGACCACACACCTTTGTTTCAAAGATGAGGAGCCTGTGTTCTCAAAAGTTAGTGTCACATGCTAGAAGTTATACTTTTAACGAGAGGCAGAGCTAGGACTAAAACTCAGGACTGGCACTTAGTTTTCTGCACGTTGGTCTTTCCTGACCTCAGGTGCCAGAATTGCCTTGGAATCAAGAACATTACCAGATTCCGTGTGGGTTTCATCACTGCCTCCCATTTGCTTGTTGTGAAAGAGCTATATGCTTTTGTTTCTTGGGGCCTCGCTGTTCTTAGGAAATAGCAGACATACATATTTAGAGATTATTGTGGAGATTATGATGCATTTTGTAAAACTAATAACTCTTAAATGTGACTACATTATGTGTTTTCCTAAGTTGTCTAATTTTCTGCTTCTAATTGACAGTTCAGGAACATCTCCATAGATTGTACGTGGTAGATGTGACTTGTAAGAGGTAATAATTACAAGTAAAAGGATTGTCATCATGTAGATTATTCAAACACTAAAGTTAGAACTTTTAGAGCTTTAATTAATGACATTAAAATGATCGTTGGTGCTAAAAATTAGCCATGCTTTCTGAAAACTTAATACAACTTACACCATTAGTATTTCTTTATTAGGCTAAATGTGAGGTGGTTTGTTGACTTTGTCATAATAAAAGGATAGTGTGACAAGCTGAGGTTGAAAAGTTTTAAGTAATTGTTACCCAAGAGTAGAAATTAAGATTTAACTTCTGTGTGGCCATGGAGAATACATTAAAGTAATCAGTGCTTGATACAGTTGCCCCAAATCATTACATTTTCATCGACCTTCAGTACTTCTCTGTTTTAAATTCATGTTTTACATAACAGGAACATTTTCTTTTTTCCAGAGAAGTCCATTCAGTCGACTGTCTCATGGCCTGCAGGGGGTTTCTGCAGTGCCTCTGAGAACTTATGCAGATCAACCAAGTAAGTACCTAGTACAACAGGTTTTCTTCCAATGAGCTGATTTCCTTTGTGTTTAAATTTAAGAGCGAGTGAATATTAGAGTGACTAATAATGGAGTAATCTATCGGAGAATTTATTTGTTCATATATTTATTCACTTAAATGTTTATGGAGCACGCACTGTGTCCAGGCGGTGAACAGGCAAAGCCCCATTCATGGAACTTACTAGTCTGGTCCTAAAGGACAATATACAAGTAACGGATCAGTATTTTGGGAAGTAATTGAATATTAAAGTAGGTAATTGGGAGGAAAAGAGACTATTTTAGATAGAGTATCAGGGCTTTTCTGAGGAGATGGTGTCTGAACCAGGGCCTGACGGAAGAGAGGGAGTAAGACAGCTTTTTCAGCAGAGGGAAACATCAGAGAGAAGGGTCTGAGGGGAGACTTAGCTTGTTAGGTTTAAGGAATTGCAAGAAGGCAGGTGTGTCAGAGACCCATAGAATGTAAAATCCAAGAGGTGGGTAGGGATCAGGTCATGGAGGTTTTTGTAGGCCAGGCCAAGTAGTTTGGATTTCACTCCAGGTTTGATGGGAAATCATCAAAGAGTTTTTGAGTACGGGAGCTATTTTATATGTTTACATTTAAAAAGTTAGTCTGTCCACTGTGAGAGTGTGTTGGTTGTTTAACTGTTTAGAATGGTGAGATGACATTGTTTTGGACATCCTAAATCAAAGTCTTGATGGGCTTATCAAAACACCTTTTAAAAAAGACAAGAAGGATATACCTTGTAAGGATATTGGATATCATTTGGATATTTTCTTCTTTATAATTTTGAAATTTCTATAAGGGTATGTATTATAACTATATAAAACAGGAAGTTAATAGGCTTGTAGTAAGGTATTCTAGTCTCCCAGAACCAAGGATTGATTATTTGAAATGACCTGTTTTGACATCTTCTGTAATCACCCATATAATTATAAGTACAGTTGCATGCAATATCTTAAAGCATCATTGTAGAAACTATTAACTGGGGAGAACTGTGACCTCAGTCTCCCTGAATGCTGTGAAATAATTTTATCTTGTATCCTTAGCTGTTGTCAAACTATTACCATTTTGGATATTTTACTTCTAGAAGAAAGAGTAGTGGGGGGAATTCCAGTATCAGTGTCCCAACAGTGGGGAATTTATTCTATCTTTGAACAAGACAAGAAATCCTTTAAGAAATACTAATTTGATGGTGGCGGGAAAAGTTGGACCCATTATGCAGCCTTTGTCCCTTTTTTTTTCCATTTTAGTTTTATTGAGAAACAATTGCATACAGCCTTGGTCACTTTTGTTAAATGGGAATATATTATTTACTCTTCAAAACACACAACAGGAGAAATGTTAGATTTTCATTCCAAAGCATGCAGTTAAAGACTTTTCATGGCTAATTCTTCACATTTGAAATCATTCAACGAAGATGTGTTCAATGCCTTCTGTAAGCCAGAAAGTCTCTGAGCAGGAACTTTGATTTTATTGGAACGAGGGTATCTGAGCTCTCATGAATCAGTCTGGCGATTGAGATTGAGTAAACCCTTGAGATTGAGTAATTTATAAATCCCTTAGTACCACATAGATACAGTATGTAAAGCTTTTGGATGAAATAACAAACATTTCACATACATCTGTTCACCTGAGGTGTTTACTTAATGGCTGTCTTTTCCTCAAGAATGCACACTTCATTAGGGCAAGGACTGTGACTGTTTCACACCTAAAGTGGTACAGTAGCTATTCAGTACATATTTATTGAATAAATGAACCCTGAGACTACATTTGTTTTAGTTAGCTGTTCTATCAGTATGGGGCAGTAAGTACCCTGCAACAGGAGCAATAGCATTAACTGATACGTGAAGGGGGCTCGCTTTGTCTCAGGCACAGTCTTTAATTATCATGTCCATCTTACAAGAAGTGTGCTGCTCCTCATTTTATAAATGAAGGTGCTGAGTCAGCAGAGGTTCCCAGCTAGGAAATGACAGAGCTGGGAAAATTCTGACACTATAGCCTACACTCTTTTTCCCCTGTCTGTTATTTGAATTCTTTAATAATTTTCAAATGAATGATGCTTCTGTAATGTGACCTTGAGACAAAATTCCATCTCTTCTGATGTTTTTGGAGAAGTTATAAGCAATAGACATTAGAAGGAAGGGAACAGAGAAATACCTTCCAAAATTGAAGACTTTTACCAACTTCCTTCAAGATCTACCAATCATAAACCTAAATCTTAATCTGATGGCCATATAGATTGTAAGGAAGTATCAAAAACAAATGGTAAAATGTCCAGTTTGAGGACCAGCACTGTACTTCAAAAATGTATCCATTAACAATTTAAAGATTGTAATTAGTGTTCAAATAATCATGGACTAGGTAAAACAATTTAAATATCAGAGTAGCATAGCTAAAAAATACTACTGTTGTTATGTTAATTTTTCCCTCAACAGGGAAATCCAGTGTATATTCTGTATAATTTTTTTTTTACTTTTTTATTGAAGTATAGTTGATACACAGTCTTACATTGGTTTCAAGTATATAACACAGTGATTCACCAGTTACCCATATTATTAAATCCTCACCCCCACCAGTATAGTTACTATCTGTCAATACAGGAAGATGTTACAGAACCATTGGCTATATTCCCTTGCTCTGCTGCCATCCCTGTGACCAGCTTATATTATGATTGAGAATTTTTGTGCCCCTGTATCTGCTCTCCCACCCTATCCACCCACCCCAACCGTCCTCCATGGTAACTACCAGTCACTGCTCAGTGTCTATGAGTCTACTGCTCTTTTGATCATTTTGTTTCTATATTCCACAAATAAGTGAAATTGTCTTTCTCTACCTGGCTTATTTCACTTAGCATAATACCCTCTAGGTCCGTCCCATGTTGTCACAAATGTATAGAGCCTACATTCTTAATCAGTGTTCTTAACATGTGGTCTGCGTCCTTAGATGAGTATTTGTTGACCAACTTGAAGATTGAAGAGTTCAAAACTTACTATGATACAGTCCCTGTTATAAAATCTGAGATATGTTTGAATATCCATATGACCCAAGTTCATCAGATCTGAAAAGAATTGTATGTTATTG